TGCTGTTATGATAATGGAGTTAAAAAACACTTGATTGACCTTGTGCATACTCACTAAGTTATAACATTCTTGCTTACTTACGTTATTTATTATAGCAGTGCTTGGAGGGAAGTTTTTAAAGTGTCATTGTCTCACCACACCACAGAGGTTCCATCAGTGACCATAGCTTGTGCAGCAGTTGTGGTCCAAGAACAACATTCCACAGATCTTGCAGCTTGTGATTTTTTCCTTTTACCAAAAATCAAATCCCACTTGAAAGGAACAAGATATCAAGAAATCGAAGGAATATTCCAGGAATATTTTCATCAATGGAAACAACACTGGATAAAGTGTGTGGCTTCAGAAAAGGATTAGTTTGAAGGAGATTAAATGCCAAATTGATATGTTTTGTAGTTTTCTTTTTAAAGCACCAGTTCAAATACTTTTTGATCAACCCTCATAAATGGTATGGCTGGGCAATTTTCTTAAAAGGTTAAAGGCTGAAACCTGTTACAGAATGATTTAAATATATTGCCTATAGCTTTGTGAGGAATTATTAACATACCAAATTTTGTTTGAATAATTAATCTCTTTCTTTAGGCTCTTTATATTACTAACACAATATATTCAGGCTATCCATTCTTCTGCCATTATCAGGTGTATATTCTAATTAAGGAAAAAAAATTCTGAACAAATGGAATGACTGAAATGATCTGTAACAGCAAATAAAGCAAATCTCATATTTGCGCAACTTGCCAAGGTATCTCAGGAAACCTCATAGATACTGATATAAAAAGCTGCACTGAAATATGGTTTCCACATATTAAATACTTGAATGTCTTGCATTATTTAAAGTGGGGGCTTCCACAAAGGACAATAATGCATGTTTCAAGCAATGTCCATTATTACATTCCCTTAGAGAAGACTCAATCATTCTTATTTATTCATGTGTAATGCGATTCATATTGAAGGTTGCATGACAATGCAGAAATATAGAATAGACATTTGCATCATCCTGATGTACATGTAACAAAGGTCTAAAGAATCTAAAGTGTCTCTGCACAGTGGGTTCACATTCATATATTCAAGAGCTAAGACAATATCACAAAATTATATCCAGAGGATACATTACAAAAGAAAGTGAATAATAGTTGGAAAATATTATTACTAAAAAAAAATAGTAAATAAAAGCTGGGTTTACAAGGATTTTCTGAAAAAAATATCTCACTTATTTCTCCCAAGGTTAGAAAGTATATCTTATTCAAATATTAACACTTCTAGACATGAAGATTATAAAATATACCATATTTGATGGTATGTAAGTTCTCCCTCTTTACACTTTTTTTTACAGTGGTGTTTACCATGTATAAGTCCAGATGTGACACTGTAAAAATGCTGATAATTTGAAGAAAGCAAAAAGAATTAAATCGAAAGTGAACATAAAGATGAAGAAGGTAGTAGATAGATTGAAGGACATACTGAAAGCAAAAGAAAATATACTTTTATTTTGTTTCTCATTTCAGTGAATGAGGACCTTGCTAGAAGATAGCACTGAAATCCACTTGGGCATCTGGTTATAGTGAAGCCCAGGGACAAGGTTAGGGGATTGCAATTTTGGACAGAGACCACCAAACTAGTTACAGATAATAATTTTATGGCTACAGGTGGGTGAGGAAAAGGGTAAAGAAATGATTTTATGTCACTTGTTAATAGGGGTGGAAGATGCATGTGTCACTAAAGGAACAAGATTTTCTCAGGACGGAAAATTTCAATCAAGTGGGAAAAAGAGGAAGAGTTATGGACCAAATGTCATAATCATGAATAAAGGAATGCAGATAATACTTTTATGGTGACATTAAAAATAACATCTGTTTTGTGTTGGGTGCCCACAGGGTCAGGTGAAACACCTATTCTCTCAATGGCAGCAGCATGTGGAGCTGATATGAGGAAGTGGGAGGAAAATGAATATGTCCACTGAAATGTACTGGTGTGAGGTGCGAGCAAGAGAAGGAGGGAGAAAAAGATGGCAGATCGACATGCAAAATGCTTCCAAAGACACTATCAGCAGAGAGTTCTGATTGGATATTTGAAAAATCCTGGAACCCCAGATCATGTTGGATCCATGCCAATGTTGGGCGAGGGTCCATAAAAACGTTAGACCAGAGGTAAATGACAGCAAGAAGACAAACAGAGAGAGCAACAGTTGAGGCAGAGACACACTTCTATTACACCATGTGATTTGCTGCCACTAAGAACTCCTGACTAAGCCTTGTTCCAGACTATTAGATAAATTGAGCAGAGTGCTCTGATGAAATTGCAAAGTAGAAGAATTGAAAGTCTCTATATAACAACAGAGAGAACAAGAGACAAGTGCTTTGTCAGCATTCCATAATTTGCTGCCTGAAGAAATATCTGATTTAAAGTTTGAAACCTCAACTCCAACTTGGAAATGAAGAACAAAGTGTCATGAAGAGGGAGAGGCTTGGACCAAAGAGACCAACTTCATAGTTAGCTGTAAGGTTCAATCATGGACACACCAGTGACCAAGGATGGAAGAGCACTGTCATGTAATGCAGGGACCAGGATGCCCTGCAGCATTATATGGGAGCAACTTAGGTTACAGAGTAAGAGGTACAGTTTATGCAGATATGTGGAGAACGGTTAATCCTAGATTTGAACAGGCCAAGAGTGTAGTGACTGGGAAAAGACCCTCTTGGGAGTTGATTCCATGGAGTAATGGTTCATGGACAGAAGCTGCTCAATTGGAACTAATATCTCACAAATGGAATATGAAATGAGGGTTGTTTGCTACAATGTGTGTAGCATGGTGGGTCTTAGTTGTAAAGGTTAGAAGAATGTAGTTCACCTGAGCACTTTCCATGGAAATAATGATAGAGCAAGGAGAGGCTTGTGATGTTTTATCTGTGGGAAAGGGGTTGTAGGGCTGAAAATAATTCATTAGTCACAAGGACAGAGAGGCACTTTTGGATTCTATCAAGACTGGAAAGTGAAGATTGAGTAGCTCATGTCCATATATGGTAGCAGTACATTGCAAATCGCAAGAAGTCATAATTATCATGGGAGACCTGAATGCCAAAGTAGGCAGGGAGAGGGCAGGGGATATAGAAGGAAAACTTGAACCAGGAACCTGCAATGAACGTGGAGAAAAATGGATCCAATGGTGCACAGCCAATGACCAGGTAATAGCCAACACATGGTTTCAAGAACATCCAAGACAATTATGGACATGGAGGAGAAACTAAAACCAAATTGACTACATAACTATCAACAAAATTTTTAGGAATGCAATGGTTCACTGCAAAACCTACCCAAGTACCAACTGCAGAATTAATCATCACCCTGTTATATGTAAACTAAGAGTGAAACTATGGAAACTGAAGAAGCCTAATGCAGCATCCAAATTGCAATACAACAAATTCCTGAGAAACTGGAAGAAAAATATATAGACAGTGTGAAAAGAAGATAGAAAGGGCTCAATAGAAATGGAAACTTGAAATGAGATGCACTAAGAGAAGCTTTAGTGACATCAGCAAATGATATCATCCCAAAGGATAATTGATGAAGAAGAAAAAACAAGTGGATGACTGATGAGATTCTCAACATGATGCAAAGGAGACAGAAAACTCTGCCAAGATATGGAACAGAATACAGAAAACTACACAATGAAATAAGGACCAAATGCAGACTGGCTAAAGTAGAGTGTATAAACAAAAAAATGTGCAGAAATAGAGATTAAGTATCACCAACAAAGGAGATATGCATAAACAAATAAGGGAACCAACAGGACAGAAAACATGCTCATCAACAGGATGTATAAAATCAAAGGATGGAGCACTCATATTAGAGCAGGGAAAAAATTCTTTAGCACTGAACATGAATCCCAATAGGCATTCATGCTTATTAAAACAGTTTGTTATTGACTATGCCTTTCAGTATTATTTTATTTAAAACCATAAAATTTAAATATTTCATGACCATAATGATGGAAAAAAGCTTTAAATCAAACTCTAAGGAAATAATTATGACATGTCCTTTTTGGTATCAAAGTCTAAATTAGATTACAAATCACATGTTACACTAGACAATTTTTATTGTCCAAATCCATCTTGCACATTTATAAATCTACCATTCATTTGTGCATTGAATATCGCTGTTATATCTGGTCTGGTGCTCTTACTATATATCTCAAGATTCTAGACAAAATCCAAAGAAAGGTTTGCAATATTATTGATCCTGACATGGCATCTTGACTTCAGTTATTTTCCCCACGACATGAATTAATTTCTTCTTCACAGTTATAGGTAAATTTGGAAGCAACCAATTCAGAAGAAGGAAATTTTGAATTCAAAATTGCCTTGGAGATCATTCCTAGTTATGGAAAAGCTTTTGAGAATAAACCCTGAGGACAAATTTGGAACTAGAGTTCCTTTCACTCTAACACTGTCTTCATGGTTGTTCTACTAAGATGACACTGGCACCACACTGTATTGGCCCTTGTCCTTCCCCCAGAAAACATCAGTGACATGGTCATCATGCCCAAATGTGCACCTTGGGAAACAAAACTTTCCAGACAGATCCTTAGTCTCACAAGTATAACAGATACTTCAGAGAGATGATTAGTGGTTTCCATAATCTTATCAGTTAATAGCACATGACAAATCAAAAACTTACATCATGAACACCACTGGAAAAAAAAATTTCCAGACACTGGTCCTTGCTCTCACAAGGTTGACAGATACTTCAGAGGGAGGACAGGTAGTGATGTCCATAATCTTATCAGTTAACAGCAGATGACAAACCAGTAACACACGGTAGAAAAACCAGGCAAGCAAAGTACTTTCTTATAAATTGATAAAATTCAGTTAACACAGCTATCAATAATTAGAGACCTTACATGAGTAGCATCCTATAAGTCTTGACACTGGCATCAATATAAAACTGGGGAATGCAACAGAAACAAGGTTTCAGATATACAAAAAAAGAAATATCAGAATACTTACACGAATAAAAAAATATATCATAAAAAAAACATTGAAGGCTAAATCCACTTGTTGCGTTGTACTTAATGACCATGGCCTGCAGGATTCAACGGCTTGTCTGAAAAAAAAAAAAAAAAAAATTAAATAAAAATTATAATAAACCTCATTGTAAAGTTTTGTAAATAAAAATATTAAAATGGTAGCCAATTTTACTATCTAAAATAATTTGTACTTGTTATATCATGGATAATACAATATAATCAACCAGGTAATCCCAAGTGGAAAGATTACACTAACACAGGAATTAGGTGAAACAATAACAAGGTTTTATTGTACGGAAGTACAATGAGTAAGAGTTCAGATATATAACAATCAGTAAAACGGGAGATACGTCACGGAGATCGTAGTCGTCCTTCATACGCTTCCACTACAATAGTTCGTCACGTCTTTTATTCTCCCAATCACGTCTCTTCTAGACTGACCAATTACAGTTGGGGTGTGTTAGGTTGTTCCACTATAACAGTACTGATATGAGTATTGTTTTTATTTATGCAGGTATTCTATTAAGAAAGGATAATAAAATTAGGAATGATTTATCTGAATAAACTAATAATATTACATTGTACTTTTAGACATCTTTTAAGACTTCAAAGACAAGCAACAAGCTAGAAATCTATAAATTAAAAGACAAAGGTAAAAGCTAATATAAGCATTCAACAGCCATCAAAATGAGACAGAAGAGATACATAGAAGAATGCTTAGACAAACATGAATTTTAAAAATTTTCATAATTGAAAAGTAGGAATAAAATAAAAGAACAAATTCATTAAGAACTATCATCGTTAAAGATATAATTCATACATAAGGGACAGGTAAACGATGAATACATCTTCTATATGCCATATCACTTCAAGATGTTGACAATCATGGCTCTCCACAAATTCCTGTCCTTTGTATCACTTAATAAATTGTGTCTTTTTGTTGTCTCTCCTAAGCTGTCTACTGCCATCAATTTACTAAGAGTGCTAGGTAGGTTATGCAGTTTTCTTCTGTTCCACTTGCATTCAATCTGTCCCTAGAAATTTCAAGTATCTTTTCCTGATGTTAAGTATGTGTCCTTTTTGTTTTCATTTTCTCTAAAACTTTGTCATTGCTCACATGTTTTGTCCATGTTATTCTCAACATACAAGGTAACCAAATAAGTTCTGTCCATTTTTAAAGGAAAAAAAGAAAACGCTTCATAGTATGTGTAACTTATATTTAGTCTTCGAAGTAATTGCCATCGGCATCCAGCACCTTCTGCTAACATGTCTCCAGCTGTTCAATACTCTTGCGGTAGAAGTCAGGAGGTTTTGACTCAAAGAAGTCCGTGAGGGCTTTGCGAAAGTCTGCTTCATTGGTGAAGGATTTCCCACGAAGATGATTATCCAAGGAGTGGAAGAGGTGGTAATCGGATGGCGCAAGGTCAGGCGAATAAGGTGGATGGCACAAAGTCTCCCACCCAAGTTGCTGTATGGTATCCTTGATCACTCGCGTGACATGCGGCCTGGCATTGTCATGGAGGAAATGCACACCTTTGCGATTCACCAGTGCTGGCTCCTTCTGGTGCAATGCCTGTTGCACATGTTTCAATTGCTGCGAGTATAGGTCCCCAGTGACTGTTTGGCCCATTGGTAGCAGTTCATAATGAACCACTTGACGACCTGTCCACCAGACACAAAGCATAATCTTGCATGGGTGCATAGGCGGTCTTGCGGTATGAGGGACAGCATCCTGAGGAGACAACCAATGTCTGGAACACTTGGGAGTTTCATACAGAACCCACTTTTCATCACTGGTAAGCACTCGATTGAATAAGGATGTGGTACAGTGGTGAGAAAGCAGCGGTCCCTTGTGGACCTCCAACAGCGTTTGCAGAACCCACTTGCACAGTTTGTACATCTTACCTAAGCAGTGCAGGTGAAGTCTAACTGTTTCATCGGAAACGTTGAACTGTCTTGCAAGTTCACCACATGTTAGACTACTATCCTCTTCAATGGCCGCCTTTAGGACTCCGTCATTCAAGGCCTGTGGTCGTCCACTGCGGGTCTCATCATGGAGAGACAAATCTCCCGACTTGAATTTTCAAAACCAACGCCTTGCAGTACGTTTATCCACAGCACTATCCCCAAACACTTGACATATGCAGCAACTTGATGCAGCTGCTGATAAGCCCACTTAGAAGTCGTAAAGCAAACAGCCCCGAACAAGATCTCTAGACACTTCCATCCTTCTCCCAGCTCTCCGGCTTATAACTGATGGCCGGGCATGGTGCGCTTGTTTTTTTATAACATCTGATGTTTCCTACTTCCGGCTGACTGAATTTGAAAACAATTGCTACACGGATTTTGTATATATTTCAACTTCATTCAATGACTAATCAAAAAACAGACAGAACTTTTTTGGTTACCTTGTACTTTTGTAGTAAAGTCCAATACGAGTATAATGTAACAATCTAGAAATTAAATATTTAACTTAGTCAAACCATTGTTCTCATCTTTGATTGTTATTAATGCTACAATAGACACAATATTAACTAAAACATTGAGTCTGTAATAAAATCTATAACAATGAAAGGTGAGAACAATAGTTCAGATAAATAGAACAAGTCAAAAGATATCGACAATTTCTCATATCAAAAATCATTGGCTTGCTCTCATATAATAAGTGGCGAGATTTCATTTAGGTCATAAATTAACTGATGATAAAATCAAATTACTAGAATCTTCTTCAGTCCAAACAGAAAACTTAAATTTTCATTGTATATAATTTAGTTTAGTCTAATTTTCTTATCTTTATTGCTTGTTTGCTTCTTTTTTAACAATGTTTCAGCCATGTATTCTCCAGTTTTCTGGATTCAACAATATTCTGGAACACAACAGACATCTGAGGAAGGCCGAAGGATACAAACAGTTGAAATGTTGTGGAAAAAACATAAATAAACAATAAAGACAAGGAAATTAATCTAAATAAAATGCTTAATTGTAATATATTTTCAAATTTCATTGCATTTATAACTAAATGATTTTTTTTTTAATTATCCAATATAATTAATATCTCAATAATTAGGTATTCTCTAATATAGGAGAATGTGATGAAAAATTCTCAGTTCAACCAACTTCCCAAACTCTAACTAAACATTAGAATTTATCTCGGAATCGTTTTTGGTCAGGTTAAAAGCTTTTCTGTACACACTTTTAAAGCCTTAAAATCAAAATGTAACAGTTATGATGCCATTTATGTAATGAAAGTAATCACAAATGCCAAAGTACATGCTTGGTATATGAATTTTACAACCCATTCTCAATAGATTAATTCCTTATTAGTTGTTATTGAATAAACGCTTTGTTACAAAGTTGTTGTTACAAACAATTCATAAAAGTTAATTAAAGCTTATCATGTTGTGAATGATTAAAAGTAATGACAAACAAACCTGAAATACAAATAAAATTTATTCAAGAGTTGTCCAAAAATCTTAAAAAATACAAGTTTTTAAAAATAACTACAATTAGCTTAAAAATAAATTATTATTAAAAAGAAAACAATATAAACAAAATAAAGTGATACTTAAGATCTGCAAAGAACAGCTGTTTTTTCCTAAGATCTACTTCTTTAAAAACACAATACAGTAAAAAAAAAATATTTGAGAAAATATATTGCTTCTACAACTTACAGCCTAAATATTAACAATTTAAAAGATTCTTTTTTTTGTTGTTTTTATTAATATTAATCATTATGGCTTGTGAAAAATTGATGCACCCATGAAAAAACAAATACTCTTATAACCTAATTAAAAAAGAAAATTTCTACTTGTGCATTTTGTATAAATTCATCTTATCTATTTTAGGATTCTAGAGCAGTCAAATAAGCAGATTTTTGTTAGAAAGAATAAGCAAATACTTTTATATATTATCAAGAGGTTTGGCATACAATTTAAATTGATGATGTGAATAGATCAGTGCACCAGTTTCATAAATATGATAAGCCAAAAGAAGCCATAACAAGAATGTTAAACCGCAAAAAGAGAGAAGAGAAAGATTAGGTGTTACCATAAAGAGAGACTTATCTTCAAATAGTTTACTTTTATTGAGTATATGTACAAGACAAAAGAAACCAGATAAAATTAATAGTAAAGATTCAATAATTTCTTTCAAATATATTTAGTACCTTTGGACACATGTTATACACATTTCATACATTACTGAAGATTTCTCCTTTTTTTATATATGGAATAAAGAACTAATAAAGCATAAATGTGTGTATGAAATATTTTGAATAAAAATTCAAAAACTCATGAAATGATTTTACAAACAAAACTTTTAAAAATATCAGTAAATTGTTTGCAAACAAATCTGCACTCCAAAACCTGCAAAATACATCAACATTATTCAACTGGCAACTTTATTACTTTGTTATAACTACAATATTGCTTAATTAGAGATTAAAGCAAATCAGACTATATCTTAATAAATTAAAATTTGTTCAACTACCTTTTAATTCTTTTCTATTTTCCAATGCTTCCTTTATGCCAACCTTAAATTATTTCTTTAACTATAAGTTGAAATAACATAAGTATCATATTTCAAACTGAAATCACTTCTTTTATTGATCTTCACATCTTCCCATCTACCTTTTGACTGCTTACCATCCTTCTTTTTTCTTGTTCTGCCATCTGTTCACACCAAGTCATTAAATAGGTTACTTGCTGTTTTCTTTGGTTTCTCATGTTTTTAATATATCCTGTGAGTGTTAAATGCTCTAGGCCCTCTTTTCTCATTAAGTAAGTTGATTTTTTCTGATTGTAAGTATCAGTTTCCTTGTAGTTACTTTTAAAAAACAAAACAAAAACTTCCTCATTAGTATTCTCAGCATTTGTTCATAGTTGTTGTGGACCCTGGTAAACAAATTTTTTTCTTTTATGGTTCTCCCGTGGAGTTCTTTAAATCCTCATTGCCAGTGTTGTGGATCCAAAATAGGTCCGAAAGAAAACTCAAACTCAGCAATTTAGTGAAAACAGATTATTAAACAAAAAGAATGAATACAAAAGTGTTGCACGTCTGACTGACAGCAAAGTACAGT